TTTGTATGTTCACTTTCAACTCAGTCTCAATCTTGTCAGGTAAAACTTGCTCCATGATATCTTTTAGACACAGTCTCTCCATAGAGGCAGATGTCTCTGTTGACTGTATTAATATTAGCTTCTGAGTCTATTTTTCAAAATATCCTTCAATACGTCCAGTGCTAGAATATTTTGCTTCATTCTGTATTTAGTCTTTTTTACTCCTTTTTCACCCCTTCCTGAAGATGCCAAGGATTGAACTGGGCCCCTTTGGCATGTAAAACAAATACTGCCCCGTTGAACTTTACCCTCCCTCTAAGCCAACTCCTAAACACATTTCCTTTCCAATAGACATGCATACGATTGCACTGCAAAAGCAGTTTCTGAATCAGTTGCAAGTGCAAAGCTTATCTGGGGCTTAGAAAATGAAATTCCACAACCACACACTCTGTTTATTCAGTCTGCTGGATTGGATGCAACTGCCTTAGAGATCATCTGATGGTGAAGTGAGATACAAGCCTGGAGTGTAAGCTACCTTCAGACCTTTTTCTTGCACTTATGTGCCAATGGTTCTTCATGCCCTTTACTAATCTATGGCCTCTAAGGAGCACCTGAGTGGCAGCATGAACAAGTGTGATGTTTACATCTGCAGCTGTTTCTTTCCTCCTGAAGTACACTCAGACAAGACGTTAAATGGAAATTGCTTCTGAACCAGTCCTTCCCATCATGCCTTTCAATTCACATTTGTAATGGTATGTGGGAATGGTCTTAAGAGATGGGGCAAAGAGATGCTGCCTAGGGAATGGTCAGATAAGAGACGGCATAGCCCACAGCTGCATAATGGGTGAAGAAAGAGGCTCAGAAGAGACCCTCCCTAGTTTCTCAGGGTGTAAAGGAGACGGCAGGAGATCTGTACTTTCAGACTTGCAAGATTGATGTCAGCCTTCCCAGGTAGACCAGACAAGAAACACAACCGGATAAGCTATTTCTGCTTTAGTGTAAAGCTACATTGACAGAATCTTGTGTTAAGCCAGGCGACCAGAAACTTTGGAAGAAACCCCACTTTAATAAAGAGACTCCATTTTAATGCACTCACTATAAACGAGCGTTGGAGATTCTCTCGCAGTTTCCAAGTTGTTATAGTTATCCACTACTATGAGCATTAAAGGCACCATATCAAAATCTGTGTAATTCTTGCTTCCTTGATCTGGCCTAGCTGTTGCAGCGCTTGACAACGCCGAAGCTTGGCCTTAGATGAATCAGAACAACAATGCATCCAGTCTTTTGATATACTGTTTTTCAGAGATTGACATCATTAGGGCTAGACTTTGGGATAGAAACCCTGACTCCCGCCCACTCCCTTCAGCAAAATGAGCAAGAGAACCTCTCAAATGTAGCAGGATTGGCTTACCCATTCAAAATAAGGGAAATTAAAATATCTGTCCATCCATCCATCCAAAAATCCATCATAGGAACAGGGAGACCCAAGTGAGACCATTACCTCTAAAACATTACTTTTTTACCATTGGTCAGTTTGAAAACGATTGACACCAGTAACAACTTCTTCGTTTCATGTAAAGGCCAAAGGGCAGCTCTTAAGATACCATGTTTAAAATACATAAAATATTCCGAATGTTTGCTTGGCAAGATTTTCTTCTTATTGATGCCCATTCGTTGTCAGCATACAGTCATCGCATTTTCTGCTGCGTCCTGCTTTTCTCCAACCCCTCTAATGTCCTTTTTTTTAATTGAATGCTCTATCATCCTTCCCAAAACTAATTTTGCTGGGGTTGTCATGTTTGATGCAAGAGCCAAAGACTGGTAGATGTTGCACTTTTTAAACCCACTGGCAAGAAATCACATCACACTCAATGTAATTACATTGTTCTAGAAATGTGATTATGTGTTTCAACGACCAGCTTCCCATTAAATTACTTCAGATCAGTCTCAATCTATAGGACAGAATCCTCCTGATTTAGATGTTAAAAGTGTAATAAATCTGAGATGGAGCCATCTGCATGTATGTTTTTTACATTGTGTCCGACGTTGGCAGTTTTGTTGTGCCATTTTATACTAATCGCTCTGGACATTGCTCACCTACTTAATGGACTGGGAAGAAACAGAGCCTCAGGTTTTTGATGAATTCTGCACTGGTGCTGTGCCACGCGTAAGAGGGCTTCATCTCTGACTGTTCCGAATGGGTGTGCCACGTGGTTGATCATGGTGCCATCAAAGAGCTTGGAAATCAAAGCTGCTATTTATGCCAAGGTTAATTCCTCCTTGTTCTCTGCATGGTTGACAGCAGAGGTGGACAGTCTCAACCCTGGAGTCCCACATGACCTCCCAAACCACATTTTTGCAACTTTGGATCCTCCTTGGACCATAGATGCTGAGAATGTAATATGGTTTTTCTGCCATTTTGAAGAGAGCACATGAAATCTGCAGCATCAGATAGGCTTTAAAAGAGCTTTTTGATAAGCCATCAGATAGGCTTTAAAAGAGCTTAAAACCACAAAAATAGGCCTCAGGCTTCCTCTTCTGAAATCTGGGATGGTGGAACTAAAAAGTGGAGCTCAATCATGTTTGTATTATCTTCTGCCCCGCCAGCCAGTGTTGATCAGGCTTCTTCTTCCTAATGTGAGGTGTGATCCTCAGCCATCAAAAGCTGTCCTTGCATGTTCTTCCCAATGGGCTTTGGGAATAGGAAGGCCTATTAGGGAATTCCAGCCTAAAGTGTTTAATGCACAGCTTTTGAAAGCTTACAGGTCTGTTTCATCAGATATATAACTATTATCCTGCAGTTTGGTCTATGAATATCTAGCTGGGGAAAAGAAGACTGTAAACAATAAGGTCAAAAGGAAAGGAAAACATTCTGAATTAATGACTAACGCTGGGGTGCCAAGGTTGAGATATTTATTTATTAACATTTATTGACAAGCCTTCTTCTAACACAAGTACTGTGCGAATGTCAGTTTTCACACAAAACAGTACCTTTCCATTTTCTCCCTAGAAATCATCTTCTGTGACTTTTTCCCCTTCTTTTTTTTTGACCTCCTGATCTAACCAACAGCCCTAAGAGTTCCAGATTTTCTCCCTTCCGAGTATTAACCGAGCCCAGTCTTGCTTAGCTTCCAAGACAATCCGGGAGAACCATTTTTTAAAAAAACGCTCTTTACATATATATATTTAATTGGCTTCTTTTGGGGGAAAAAAAGTGTCCCCCCCCCCAAAGCTATATTTATTTCCTGCCCCACTGAAACAAATGTGAAGATCTTTTAAAACTAGCAGCAGAAATAACTCCTCCCAAACACCCATGGATTTTCACCATTTAGAAATTGTAATTTTTCCATTGTGGTTTCGGCCCTGGCCGAAAACCTGCTTTATTAATAGATAATGACTGCAACCTACTCATTTTTCTGGGAGTAAGCTTTCAGCCCAGTGGGACTTCTTGTTAAGAGTAAACCTGCACCAGATTGCAGATTGTAATCCTGTTAGCATTGTCAAATAACTGATTAATTTCCCAGTTCCTGCTTCAGTTCAATTGTTTTGTTTTGGCCCTGGGCCATGTGGATAAAAAAATGCAGCTGGAGAGAACACCATCCTATCAAATCCAATGTAAAAACAAGCTTTTACAGGGAGAACCTCTGTGCACAAATGTAAAATGGATGGCGAATAAAAATTTAAACAGTTCATTTCCAGCCACTTACTTTCATGTCAAAATTTCTATCTGGGTGCATCTCATAATAACTAAATTTACAGTCGCTACTGTTTAGGGCATCTCTTTGGAGTTGTCCAGGAACAGATCTTTCCATTTTGTTTCCACTATAAACTATGGTTGGGAAAGGAACCTATTAAGCCATTTTTTTTTCATACTTGCAACAAGGAATTCATTAAAAAATTGCTGCAGGATGGGAAGAAATAACCACCTCCTTTCAGCACGAAAGTCCTACCTTCAATGTTCTACCCTGCCCTGGGGTGGCGTGCATGCGGGAAAGTTCACCTGATTCCTGAATTTGTATTCATGGACCGAGTTTGCAGAATGCAAAGGGCAACTACGGGCCCTCGCTGGCCTCTGGGATTGAGCCCTTCAGGTACATACATTTACTTGCATGGCCTGAGCAGATGGTTTTCTAGAATTACATTGCCTGCCTGGGGCTGCAGTGAGGTTGAGAAGTAAAGTAGGACACCTTATTAGCAGCATTTCTGCTTGTTAGCGTCCCTAAAAACATTGTCTGATGCTTGTTGTTCTTCTGTGTCCAGGTTATGCTGTTTACCTGGAATGCAATACTTTGATAAGCTAGGACATCCCTGCCATGTCAACACGTTATACATAAATAGCAGGAGGAAAATGGAAAAAAGTGCACTGGAGCCAATGGTTGGAACAAATAGACTGGTGGAGAAGTTATGTGGGGAAACAAACCAAACCAGAATTCTCCACTGCACAGAAGGATGAGCTTGTGAGCATGGAAATTTGGTTGCAAACCCTCCAGTTTTTGACGCTACCTTTTTACCCATTTGGGGGACAATTAAGGTCTTAAGTCTCCATGGGAATCAACAACCCATTCTGTCCTTTAAAACCCTTCCAGCCTCCCCCTCCAATGAAAAAAGGGGCTGAGCATTTTGCTCCTGCCTGGGTGAAGATCTCAAGTCCCTGTTTGACTTGTTTGCTGTGGCCCTTGGAAGAGTGGTTGGTTTTAAAGGCTCATGATTGAGAAGGCATGTTCATCCTTCATTCATGTTTGCATTGACCTTAAGAATATCCAATTCTTCCTATCTCACAACTGAGCCTCCAGTTGAAGGAGGAGGACCTTACGAGGAACTTGGGAGAAGGACCTCATCCGCTCTGGACAAATTGCAGTCCTGCCCCAGGTTCTCACATGGGTGAGATGCATTTTGAAGCATCCATCCAGCTGAGGCTCTGGGGCATGTGGACAGAAAGATGTCTTTGCCCTTGAGAATTTTGCTCTCTTCTTTGCCTCAATTGTTTAGAGCTAAACCCATGTCTGTTGCTTTCCTGGCAGAGTTAAGGCTGCCCCGGGTGTGAAGATCATCGACATTCGAGTCATTGATCCACACCAGTGGCAAGTTCAACAAGATGTTGACAATGGACGGACACAGACGACTGCTACCATTGTGTGTGAACGCATTGATCCAAACGCCGAGAACTGGTAAGAAAGCCACGGTGTGCTGTGTGTAACCACAGGTGTCTTTTCTCATTAAGACTTGGTGTGTTTGTGTGTGTGAGTGAGTGTGTGTTGGGGAGAACAGCAACTTTTATTGATGTGTCAGTCTGCTTTCTCTTGAACTGAAATACCCAACATAGCTTCCTTTTGTTGTCTGCAACAATGGCCTCCATTTTCTACTGTTGGAAATATCTGTTGTGTAAGTCTTGATCAAGGTATGCACAGGGTATCCTTGGCACCTCCTGTTTACTTTCAAGCTGCTTTGCTAATAGTTGGAACTCTGTGAGTGAGTCTTTACCTTCAGTTCATCAACACCCTATGACTTGACTGCACCTCAGCTGTAGTGGATGAGATAGACCCAAAGGTGCATTCAATACTCTGCTTAATTCACGTGGCCAGTAGGCGGATGTGGAATTCTTGTATCCTAATCCCAGATTTTTGCTGGAGATTAATCACGTTTCATTCATGATTCAGGGAAGATGTAATCAGCATGACCAGATGCCAATTTTGCCCATGGCTTTGCAAAATACAGCAAAACCACCCCACCTTATACCCCGCGGAGCTGGTGTCACCATCCTGTAGGAATCTGAGAGGAGCATACTCATTAAAATTATGTGGCTATGTCGGTGGGAAGACGTTTTGATTTAGAATAGCTCAGGCCATCAGGAAGCTAAGTTAGTTTGCAATCCCTCTGCATTGCAACTATTTCCACACTGGACACATAGGATGGGTTTCAGAATGTGTTGGCTTTTCTGGTTCCTTCTGGGCTCTCAATCTGCCACGTGGGTTCTTCTTTTTTTTAGTTCTAACTCTGAACATGATCATAGACCGTCTGTATCAATACTTGTGCCATCTTCTCTCTTGTAACCATTGCATAGCAAAAAGAAGTTTCTTACTTCTACCTCATTCTCAGGCTTAGAACATTGGTAGAATTTCTTGATGGAATTTTGATCTTCCTTTGTTGCTGCAAGATGGCCAAGGGCGTAGGGCGTAATGGTGTGTGAGTGTGTTTTCTGTTACACGTTCTTCCCTCACTCTACAGCCTTTCAGGCTGCAAATCCAGTCTCCAAAAGCTTCATGGGATTGACTAGAAGCATAAGGAGCCAGAGAGGCTGCAAATTAGAGACCGATGTTTAATGAAAGGCCACGTGAGGAAATTATGATACCCCATTCCTGAGAGTTTTCTCCCTTGAAGCAACAAGTCAATTGCTTTTGCGGAGGATTGAATGCAAAGGAATTTTACTTATTTATTTACTTTTATATAGCCATTCATCTACCAAAAGAAACTCTGGGTGGTGAATAAAATAAAAATACATGAGGGGAACGATGAGAAATGCAACATTGTCTTCAAGTCAATACGTAGGTTTTACCTCTTGGGGTTTAAAGGACTGGTTTTGACTGAAATCCATCCAACACTCAAACATTGATAGAGTTTGAATAAATTTCTCTACCCTAAAGACAACTATTTGTCAACTATTGATGAGTATTTGTAACGGATAATATTTTGTGCTGCCAATGAATACTATTACTTTCTTGTTTAAAAGGCAAATTTATGATCCATTTCTGATGATGATTGAAATGTTTATGCTGCCCAACTCCCAATGGCTATTTTTGTGACCCACATTCTATTTAGAGTTGCATGAATTAAAAAAAAAAACATGAATAAAGAAATCCTGGGGTTAAAGGAGGACTGGAATGTAATTTTTATCTGGAAGGAAAGAGGAAAAAAAAAAAAATTGTCGAAGGCTTTTGCGGCCGGCATACGATGACTGGTGTGGGTCTTCCGGGCTGTGTGGCCGTGTTCTGGAAGTTT